AGTTATTGCCGAGTACGGTGAAGATATTTTGAAAAACAAATAATTTTCCCATACAGCAACTTACTTTTCGACTTTTTGATCGATCGTTCCTATGGCAGCTATATGATAAAGTGTACCGATGTTGATATAATTTTGCATATATATGAGGAGCGTAGTAAAAACAATAAATACCTACTTTGGTCAAGATATCTTGAAAACCAAAAAAATTTGCACACAACAACTTAATTTTTGATCGATCGTTCCTATGGCAGCTATATGATATAGTGGTCCAATGTTGATAGAATTTTGCATATAAATATATAATGAGCATAGTAAAACTAATAAATGCCGAGTTTGGTCAAGATATCTTGTTAAACAAAAATGTTTTTCATAGAAGAACCTACTTATCGTTCCTATGGCAACTATATGATAAAGAGGTCCGATCAAGCTGGTTCCGAGGTGTGTACTGCCTGCAACAGAAAGAGGCACTTCTGCAAAGTTTCATAAAGATAGCTTTAAAACTGAGAGACTAGTTAGCATAGAAACAGACAGACGGACATGGCTATATCGACTCGGCTGTTGATACTGATCATGAATATATATACTTTATGGGGTCGGAGATGTCTCCTTCTATGCGTTACAAATTTCACGAAAAAATAATAATACCCTCTGCTAGGGTATAAAAAAGATAAACATTTTCCGTCAAGTTTCCAAAGGTGCGGGTGGAATTGTCAAAATCACCGAAACACTTATTCATTTAATTTTTATATTGGGCCCTTAGAATAAATTTAAAGCCAATCGGTCGAAACTTGAAACTTTGACCTTATAAACGTTGATCTTTCACCAGCATCTATCATCCATGAGGGGAGTTAAACACGTGTCAAACGAATTGTCATATATATTTATTTGAAAATTATTTTGAATCCGAACAGATGGTAATTCAAAATCGTACATACGACCGTTTTCCGCCAATATAAAAAAACTGCAATGAAATTTTCAATATCGCTGAAACACGTATTCATTAAGTTGTTATGTAGGAATTTGAAAATAAATTTTCACTTCGCTTAAAACATCTTTGATCCGTTTGTCAGTCAAGATACACACATTTGACCAAGATATGACCATAGCCTTTATATCCAGGGTATACATTCTGTAAACAAAAAGGTCACCAGCAGCATCAGCAGCTGATTGAGCCGCAGCTGCGAGCCTTAACCCCAAACGATAAATCATTACAAAATGAAGCGACACAATTTTTGCACGCTATTTTACCCGGCAAGTGGTCAACCGATAAAACTGTCAAACTTGACGCTGTAGCGCATCGAAGCGATTTGCACTAGCTCCATAAATTGTGGGCGTTAATTATACAACCACAAAACACTGGTGCGATAATTTTATGTGTCAAAACTAGTCCATGATATTAAATAACGGTAGGATTTGCTATCAACAAAAAAATTATAATTTAAATGCTTGTTATAAGAGTTTCCAGATAATTTAAAATGTGAACCTGTCAGATATAAAATATGAACTCATTTACTATGAAAAAATTCATTTAAAATTTGATGGGGCTTTTGCTGTTCAAATATACCCTATACACATTCAGAATGGCTACTCAGCGCATTGAATGTATCCCACAAAAAAATAAATTTATCCGCATCATAGAGTAGATCTAGCCATGACCGACTGTACGCGTCGTACAGAAAACTTTGTATGTATTACAGCTAATTAAGAAAAAATACACCCTACATACATTATTTCTAAAGACTGGTCACATTTATCTTACATAGATATTTTTTTATTTAAGTGTTAAGAAAGTAACTTATGAGAAATCAATTTCTAGCCAACTTGTAGGGCAACTCCCAGGACGGCACTTTTGAGAGAAACACTATTGTATACGCTAATATCTTAAATATGTGTAACTGTGACACATTGTAAAGCGGTTCTTCTGATATATATTACGAACAGTTCTAAATATGTAATTTTGGCATATTCGTGCGCCTGCGGTCATTAAAATGGGTGTACCATAAATTGTGTACGGTTTTTAATTTTGCTATCTTTTAAATCACATTTGTGCTTACCTCCCAATAGTTTCTGAGTCTGGCGATGTTATTTATTGAATTTGGTTTTCGGCATGTATGTATATATCACACTTGCAGTTATTACATAGATGTATTTTGCACAAGGCGAATAATTAATTAGCGGGGTTAAACGTTAGCCTCGCCTTAATACAAATTTGACCAGGCTTGTGGGCAAATGCATTGAAATGTTTACCTAATGAAATAGATTATTGCTCTGTAGCATTTGGATAGTTAACTCATGAACTGGCGCTGCTTGGCTTTGGCCCAATTGGTCTTTTTTTCGCACAGTGTTTGCCTACAATTTAGTTATGTTTGCGGTTTGACCTGTTTGCGACAATTAGTTGATGGACTATGGTTTTGCTTTTGACATTGATTGATTTACTTCGAATTCTGATAATAAAAATCAAAATCGCATTAAGTTGAGAATGTAAACAATGTCAACGGCATTGTCGCACATACAATCTGTGCATTTAATATCATTATTTAAATTAAATTAATCTAATTAATGTTACGCGTTCGATTTTGTCGTTTTATTGGCTTCTAATTAGCGCGCATAAAATAAAAACCGGGCAGTAATGCAATATTCATTTTGAAATTTGCACCCTTTGTCTATGAAAGTAATTTGAGCATTAATTATGTTCGATACGGATGCATCACATCCAACTTTAATTTAATTACCCCCAACACACATACACTCGCACACTCGATCGAGTGCTTTTGGGGTGTGCGGTGAATGTCTGTGGTGAGTGTCAGTTGGCATCTACCAAAACATTTATGACTTGTCAGATGTATACAAGTTTCATAATTTACATTTGCACCCATTTTCCCATTCATTGGCCTAAATGCTTGGACCAAATTCCTAATGTGTTTTTCGGGTCAAGGGTTGACAACAACAGCTGGTAAGCTCTACATGCGACACTAAGCACCTTAAGAAATTAATTTAAGCTGGACAAGTTTCTAGATGAGCATAGGATTCCGAAGGGTTGTCTTCCCCAGAAAATTGTCATTAGCTTCGAATCAACTATTCTATTACATTCCCTATTCCATCATTTAGAATTTCTCAAACAAAAATATTTAAAAACAAACCTTTTACTAATATAACAAAATTTACTATGAGCAAAAAATGTTGACTTCATAACTTCTTAAACTAACACTTCAAATTTGACAACTTCTTTCAGTCCTTAAATTGAATTTTGAAAACAAGATGCAATTATGTTATATTTCACGTAAAGCTCACGAAAAATAGTATAAGAAACCGAGCCGAAACATATTTTCCAACTGATTTACGTAGAAATGTCAAGCGGAATTAAGAATTGTCATTTATTTTTCTAGTACCCCCAATTTGCCAGAGTATAACAAAACCAATCAACGACAACAACAACTAATAAAGCCGTTTGGCTTGGCCGTTGACTATGAAAATTTGCCACGCTGATGATGAGTCGCATTTAATGGCCAGAATCAATTTGCTAGCTTCGCGCCAGCTTTAAAAACCAGTTGACTCATTTGCGAAGACCGCATTTTAGAGATAAAAAACAAATGCAGATACAAAATGAGAATTCCTAGCGCTAGACAATGGGCTGTAGTGCCAGTCACAGTCGCAGAGTCGACTACTGACAGTAAATTGCGAGAAAAAACAACACAGTTACTAACCAAAATAACAAAAAAAATACAATAATAACAACAGCAAGAGTGTTAATACAAATTACATTTCACTCTGAACGCGCTACGTGCTTTGTATGCTAATTGCATTGCAGGTCTTATGAACGGGGCAAAAATTACGCTACAAACAATTAAGAAAGCAGTCATCAGTCATTGGCTTGCAGCCCCCAACACACACACAAATACACAAAAAGAAAATCATATGTAAGCGCCTAAAAAACACAAACACACTTGCACACCCAGCCACCCATACACGTCCGCATACAGACTGCCGCTGATTGTCTGTGGGAGCCCAAACAAAAAATCCGTTCGCATTTCATATAAATCAGCGCTCAATGTCAGCCAATGTACAATTTCTAATTAGAACCGGAGACATAAAAATCACTGCAACTGCCTAGAGCAGCGACTGACAGTTTTGCTGGTCGGCTCAAAAGGTTTTCATGACGTAGCCGTCGACGTCTGGCAGCAGGCAGCAGTCAGCGAATGTTTGTCGTTGACTGAGACCGGGTGTGGGGGATCGACGTGTTTGCGGCTGATGAGCTGCACAGACCGACGATTATCGTGCCGGGCTCCTGGTCAATCTTCTGTACATAAACTGGTTGGCATAAACAGAGCAGAGCATTGTATTGGAACGTGGGTGCAACTGGCTGTGGCTGGCGTCAAATTTAGTTGAACAACATCACTAAATGATGCACAATCGCCAGACAAATGCACACACACACACTTACTGCCAGAGCAGAGCCATTGCTCATACACTACATTGCACATGCCTGCGGGCATTTTGGTGCAGCTTGAATGTCAGAATCAGAAATGAGTGGCAATCGCTGCTCATATGAGCGCCAAATTTATGCCTGAAGGTGCAATCAATTCCTGACAGAACTTTGTGCGCTGCTTATCGCGTTAATAAAAGGCAGTCAATTTCAATTGCCAAGACGAACGCACAGTGCTCAATAAATGGGGCATCGACGGCGTTGTTATTGTTTTTCGTGTTGCCAAAATGACGTAAAACCAAAACAAAAATACGGTTTTGGTTAATTGAAGGCACAATACAAACAAAACAAACAACAAGAACAACTACCCACAGCATTAGTTGCCCCGAGCAACTGAGGAAGCTTTTTATATTTTGGGGCCATGAACTTGAGTCACACAAAATTAAATGAAAACACTTTAACAAGCGCAACGGGCAACGGGCAACAACAAACTGAGCAATTAAATGAAATCAAATAAAAATACCAAACGTAAGTGAACGCTTCTAAGTATTTTTAGTGCAGCGTCGACAGCGTCGCCAACAGCGGCCCCTTCTGGTATTCTCATGTGCAGTTTGAATCAAATAAATCATTGAAATGTTGTTCGCACAGCGACTTCGCCACGCTGGCCCAAGAATACGCTGCATTTATATGTTTGCAAAGAAAGTGAAAAGGTAAGAGCAAAACATATATGCAATTAAATTCAAATTTATATATGCTAAAAGCGAAATAAACGTACTCGACTAACAGATACTCTGGACCAAAGAGGACGTGCCTTGCTTGCTATAATTCGTTTATATAAGTCAAATCGGCGGTGATAAAATTCTAATAAGTGTTTACCAATGTTTTGTATACTTATTTTAACAATAGTAATAGTAGTACTAGCGAAAATACTTAAACCTCTGAAGAACTTGTCACATTAATTTATAATTCATAAGCTTTCTGTAAACCACAGCACATTTCGCTCTTAGGCGCAAAAGGTCATTCTAAATTAGCAAAGCAGTTTAAAATTGAGCCCGTACTAGAAAAGCGCGATAAGTTGCATGAGAGCTGAAAACAAGCCGGGTGACTAATGCACTGATAATGGAGATGAAGCATCTCATCACACTCGCACACACACCCCGCACGCCACGCGAGGCATAACTAAACTAGGAAACAAACGCACTCGCACTTTACATACCAAACGCTACCAACTTAATATATAATTGTTTATAAAACGAACACAAAAGAATTATTATGTACGTATTATATGCGATGAGTGAATAAGAATGTATATCTATCTATTTTTATGTGAGTGTGCATGTACATACTTATTTATATACATATGTGTGAGCACTGTTCGTATAGAGACTGGCATCTATGAATTTCAATTGCGGTACGTGCTCATATGTAGCTCGCGTTCGACGGAGCGCACGTAGCCGCAGTCGCTGCCGCTGCTTCTGCCGCAGTCGTTGCCGCTGCTGCTGTCAATGTCTGCTGATTACACATGCACTTATAAATATAGCGGCTCTGCAATTCGAGTTCTGGCTCCCATGGTTCAGTCTCAATGAGCTGACCCGCAGCAAGCAATTGCGGCGCTTTTGTGAATGAATGCGAGCGAGTGCGCTGGAGTGGATAAGATGCCAGTCGCTACAGTTGCTGTTGTAGGTCATGTTGTTGCTTTTGTTGCCGCTGACTGACCCGAAGTGTTATTAAAAAATCATAAGAGCAAATTAACAAGCAACTGCATATGCCATTGGCCTAAGGGGCGTATACGCAATTTCATTGAACACTCCAACAACATCGACTGTTCACGCGTAGTTTAAATTATTCAATCTTCAATTTCTTTTTTTCTTGACAGTATATAAAGGCCACTCAGCTAGCGGCCAAATATTTGAATATAAAAATGTCCGGTTAATAAGGCGCTGCAAATGACTCATGTGGCACGGCAATTAAAATAAAATTAATTTATGAAAATTCCATCACGTCTGAATTACATTTGCAGCCAGTCAAATGGAAAGCAACACAAACGCGGAGGCTGCATCCATCGCCGTTGCACTTCATGCAAAACGACATCCAGCAGCTGTCAGATAGCAACAACATCCCCCACCACCCACTTGTTCCGGTCATACCAAATGATATGTAGCCAGAGCTCAACAGGCAAATATTTCTCATCAACATTTTTGCGTATTCATGCGCTATCTGAGTAAAGCCAGGTTGACATATATAATGCCAGTTATGATCGTCGATTGACTTAGTGGGCCTTGTCTTAAACTAGTAAATGATTTAAATATTATGACATATTTAACAAAAAATTTAAAGTAGATTATCTAATATCTAACTATGCTGTGTAGTCGTTCAGGCTTTAAAAGTACAGAGAGATGTGCCCGAACCCTTATTTAATGTTTGTAATACGATTAGTAGACTTTTTAATATAACTTATACGTTATATAAATAATAATGACAATAATAATTCAATAGTATTAACCTTGTTAAAGATAATACTCAAACTGAATTTAAGTCGGTACAAGGCCTGTACAGATAAAAATACTTTAATTAAATATGATTTTTTACAGAAAATGTCATTAAAAGTCTACTTAAAACTAAAAGCATAAGTTATTTTTCCATTTTTGTTATCAATTGAAGGTCATGGAAATGTAGATTATTATCATTTAATTTAAAATGAAAATACTTAATTTCATTGTATGCAATTATATTTAAATGCAGGCATATTTATTATTATACTTTTACACGCTTTCTTCATAAAGCATAAACGGTTTAAATTGTAATGTCTAAAAAAATTCCTTTCAATAGCTGTCCAACTTATGACGAGTGTGCTTATGTGAGGTGTGCGGGGCATGCAAGTCCTATAATATTTGCGGGAAAGCGCTTATTTAAATTGCCCATTTGAGTTCCACTTAGGCGCACCTTAGTGTGTACAACTACAAGTGTTAGGATTCATACATTTAATGTTGCCTTTAGCTGCTGCCACTGTCAATTAAATGTAATATGTTGTAGTCGTAAAAGGCCAAACTGTTTGGCCTGGCTCACTGTAAAGAGCGACATCAGCAAATGCAATCCCAATTATGGCTGATAACTATGCGGAATTTATGGGCGTGGAATTGCCGCATTATGTTCGCATTACAAAACGGACACACAAATTTACAATGGAGTCTCAAAACACTTGACTAGCTCACCAATTCGGCCGAATTGCCACCATAAACTCATAAACAAAAAAACGCTTGCGCTTCGTTACCTTGTCTTTCTGCGAAACCATTCTAAATTTGATTCATCCATTAATGGGTCCATAGAATAGATAATTGGCCATAAAGCTCGTCTGTGACTGCGGCTGGTCAGGCATATTAAAATATTGTTTGCCGCTGCTGTTGCCGTTGCCGTACGCGATGTCATATTTGCTTGTGCGGCTATTTTTGCGGTAGTTGTCTACCAGTCAAAACACTTGCCACATACTCGCACAAAATTAATAAATAAATGCTAATAATGAGTTGTGTACAGGCATTTTGGCATCAATTGCGGCTTAATGAAAACAAATAAACACCATTCGGCTCAGGCATGAATGAAGTCCATGTCAGGCTAGATAAACGTGAAGTCAGCAATGTTTCGATCATGTGAATGAATACACAAGTGCAAAACGAACAAAACGAGAGTGCTCGACTGCGAGTTGCTCTCTACACAAGCAATTTATAACACTACTCGGTGGATTTGATGTCTAAGTGACCCAGTTATTAAATTGAGAATCAGGATTGAATATCAAATACCAGACTAGTGTATGACTGCTGTATGGACTTTGCCGGAGACCATAATAGTTCTGTGCTATTTAAAACGTCAGGCTTTTAGTTTTTAGTTATATTCTATACTTATAATAATAAAACACTTTTGTTAATACCCTGAACCCATTGACAGATCGTGATATTAAAGGCAGAATGTAGCATTTCCGACCACATGGAGCACATACTATTGATCAGCACGACGAGCCAAGTCGATATCGGAAACTTTAAAAGGTAGAGACTTGAAATTTAACGAGCCCTTAATTTCTGTTTGTCTGTATCTCCTCTAATTTTTATAATATCGATTAATATCTATTTGCAGAACTGGTTTTTGAGTATGTAGGTTTTTGTATATTCAAAACCACAAATGAAGGAAAAAAACTCTTCTTAGCTTTAAGCACTGTTATATACATTTTAATAAAAGTGTTCATTATACCCTTTTTACCTTCTAGGGCTAGGGTATAAGAAGTGAGGGATGACATAAATAAGTCTGATGCAATTCCAAATCGAGCGACCACAATAGTTGTAGATAAAATTACAGAAAATCTAATCGTGTATTTTGAATCTAGATAAAACAAGGATCAATCAAATCTGATATTAGGTACATGTTTTAAAATGATGAATGAATTTTGATGAGCGTTGTAATAATTATTAGGCTTGTCTAGCAATAAATTGTGTGACATGTTGAAATAGTAAAGCGTTTTTAGCTCTGCGTTAAGAAGATGCAAAAATAAGGTGTTGTCTTTTAAAAAGAAATGTTACAATCAATTCAGCAGAAGCAAAAAATGTAACAGTTATATTGAATTAAAATCATCTTTTTGCGCTTACGGCATCTAATTCCAGTACAATTTATTACTCAGCCATTCAACTTAGTTATTATACTTTTAACAATCGATGGAATGCTTAAATTTACTTGTCTAGTACTAAGGAAAGAACTCCCTTCCATAGGCTAAGACCTTGGGCTTTAACGAAATGTGAATAGATATTTGAAGGCCATCAAAGGTGAGTCCACAGCAAAATGAAACGTATACATGACGCTTGCATAATATTCAATTACTTTGATTTGTGCTGTGTTGTGTTGGGTTGTGTTCCGCTGTTGCAGCTGCTGCTGTGCAAAGTCAATTAAGAATTTAGTGTAGTTCAACTGTCGGGTAATCGCATTCGCATTTATATTTGTGTTACATTGAGTGCAATGTAAACACAAACTACAGTTATTAGTGCTTCCCAGTTGGCTTGTTGAACTTTGACACCGTACTCTATTACAGCTGAAGCTAATAATGCTGGCTACAGCAGAATTCAAAATAAATTATGAATCAGGTAGAGAAAAATGAAGCTACAACTTGAGAGAGTCAGGGAAATGCACCGCCACGCCCCCGTTCTCCCCTTTTTCGCTATTAGGCTTGGTTGCATGGTAAACTAATTAAAACTTGAGCGACTTCTTTTGCTGCAGATAGGTTTCATTTAAGTTTTTTAATTCATTTGCATTACCAACCTCCGCTGCAACTTTGGCTTTAAATTTTAATTCATTTCTCTGTGCTACGCTGTGGCAGCGCACTATTTGTTTGTATACTTATTGTTGTTTTATTTGTATAATAATAGGGCTGCCTTGGGTAGCCAAGTTTTTAATTTAAATGCTGCAGAGCAACAAAAGAGAGAGACAGAAATATGGAATTTGTATTAAGCCCAGTTTTTTTTACGTTTAATCAACTTCCTTCAATTGCCGTGCGCCGTTGAGCCGAGTATCTGAGCTCTGAGCACTATGCTGCAAATTTGTTACGCATACGCACTGAGTGCAAAAAAGGGAAATCTGTTCATCTGTTTTTAATCTGGCTTTGGAAGAAGTCACTTTGCAAACTTTGTGGCCTTTTGTTTTCTTTTCATTTCCAAATCCTTTGCTGCAAAGTGTTTTCAACTTGGTTTTATTTTATACTTGCCGGCTCTATCTGTATTTTTAATTTTTTTTTTATCGACAGGCCGAAAGCATGCCAACTGAATCCACAACCAAAGCGCATTTTCTGTTCAATGCCCAGGTGTTAAACTCACTCAGTTATTTTTTGTTTCACACTTGCCGTACTTTTTAGCTGCCGTGGTAGCCCCAAAAAGAGAAATAGCAGAGGACTTTTTAGCCGCTTGACAGATTTTTCTCATTTGCATACTTTTCCAACTATTTTGCAATTTCGTTTCTTTTTTATACCCTTGCAGAGGGTATTATAATTTTTTCTCGAAATGTTTAACGCATAGAAGTAGACATCTGCGACCGCATAAAGTATGTATATTCTTGATCAGTATCAACAGCCGAGTCGATATAGCCATGTCCGCCTGTCCGTCTGTCTGTTTCTATGCGAACTAGTATCTCTGTTTTATAGCTATCGTCATAAAACTTTGCATACGTACCTCTTTCTGTTGCACGCAGTACATATGTCGGAAACGGCTGGATCGGACCACTATCTAATATATATACAAAATCCTATCAACATAAGACCCCTATATCATATAGCTGCCATAGGAACGATCGGTCGAAAATTAAGATTTCGTATGGCAAATTATTTTGTTTTTTATGATATCTTGACCCAACTCGTAATTTATAAAGCTACTATTACTATCGGACCACTATATCATATATCTGCCATAATAACGATAGGTTGAAAATTAGTTTCTAGTATGTTCATTTTCTTGTTTTTCAAGATATCTTAACCACACTTCCTTGTGCTTCTTAGATACGTGCGAAGTATTATGAGATGGTTCGGTCTGCAAGGGTATTAAATCTTCGGCGTGCCGAATATTCCCTTCTCTCCCGATTTTTTTTATTTTATTGTTTTTGCTTCCAATTTTTAGTGGGACTGTGCTGCTGTTTATCTCCCGCTGAGTGCTTTCAGCCTGAACTTCTTTTGAATGGGCCTCATAAATGGGCTAAATGCCGCGCTCCAGCACTTTTAGCCTAAGCAAGATATTGGCAACCAACATTTCATTCAAGTCGAATTTTAAGCATACTCAACGAATTGGCCAGTCGTGAGCGTCTACTCGGCCTACGTCGTCCCACTTAGCTATTGTAGCATTGCTTCAATGCTAACCGCAAATTGGGACAGAAAGACCACAACAAAGGGATGATTTCGGTGCGACGCACGCAACCGCAACTATAGATATACTTCTAGCAATGTGCATCTGAATACTTATACGTGTTATACGATACAGCTCACTTGTATTTATATTTAATTTATGTAGTACTCGTAAAAATTTATTTTGAAATACCCTGAAATGTACACTGAATCTGTCAAGCTTTTGCATAAACTATATACACTTGTGTAAATAAAAGAGTTCCCATATTTTGTACTCATACGCACGCACTAAATTAACTTAGATACGTTAGCAAAACAAATACCCAAAACAATATTATTTCTTGAATAATTATTTCTTATCCAACTATCTTGAAGGGTAGATGAAACAACATGCTTAAATATTTGTACAAGCAATATCAAGGTTACATCTTAAGCGTAATCAATATTTCGCACATAAAACTAATCTTTATCTTGTACGGCAACAGATGCAGATTAATAAGTAGACTGAAAGATGGATTTGTCCATTTTAACAAAACCATACAACAATATACATAAATATATCAAAATTAAAATTTTTCTTTGATCCAGACTTTCATATTTTCTTTAATTAAGCTGCAATATGCACAAGTGCATAACTATACTGTAAGCTATAACTCTTAAACGCAAATAATACAATTTTACTACAATTAGTTTTATGACAATAAACCTGAAAATATGTGAGCGGTTGTAAAACAGTTGTAGGTAATAATAGGCAAATGTAGACCCTATTTTATTATGCTCTGTACAGAAAGATTCAAAATCATAAAAGTTTTATGAATATTTTTTACAGGTAGTACGAGCCCACGCATAAATAAATAAAAACGAATTGCTGATGTAGTACAGACCTGACTATAGAGTATCTTCTACTCGATATGGAATTATGACTTACAAGTAATAAAAACCATATAAATACATATTGAGGGAATTATTTGGTTATACAAAATGACCAAACACTTCTGTCCGCGTTATTTTGATTAGTTCTTACTATTTTAATTAATAATGTGTGAAATCTTTTTCCTGTTGATTTTAATTTCACTTCTATTCTAATTCCACTTATATTGCAGCCTTTTGTTGCTGTGGGTGGCAATAACTGAATAGTTAATTCAAACTTGCATCAATTAATTAATTATACTGACGATTAGCGTACTGCATTCAAGGCTAATTTGAATGCAATTGCCCTGCCAGTAAGCGCAATTTATTGTTTATTGTGACAATTGTTTCACTCGATCAACAATTAACACAATTAAATTCTACGTAAAATGGAATTTAGGCATATCAAATAAAAGCTCATTGAAAAACATTACAATAAAGTTTTCTTGGTTTACTTTACTGCCATACAAGCTGCAATTGAGTGATACAAAATATGTCTTTAATAAAATATTTAATCAATTTTATCTACGCAGTGGCCTTTGAGCCGAATTCGCCTTCCAGATGCTTCAATAAGCCAAATCAACGAAAGTTTTTCTAAGCGCCTGGCTCTGACATCCATATCAAATGGCGCTTCGTCCGCCTTCAACATGTGTCAAAGTGTTCGCTTCAATGAGCTTTAAATATTTGATTTGTTTTTTACACACCCACACATATATATATACAAACATATATCTGTATACTATGTGGGTGTGTGTGATTTTGCCTACTCTTTGTTAGCGGTTGGCGGGGCAGGGACTGAATTTATATTTGATTTTGTGGCTGCCTGCTGTGTTATCTAAAACAGAACCACAACTTGCATACACACGCATACACATGCATGGATCTATATCTTGCTGAACCTGGGCAGCGGTTTTGACTATCACATAATTGTCATTGACAAGATTGGAAAATTCTGTAACAAAAATGTGAACGAATTTTTCACACATTTTATTAACGGACAACAGCCAAAATGTACGGCGCTTGTGGGGCGAGGCTGTTGAATATATGCTGAATAGCCGTGAGCCGGATTGTCTGGCTGTCGTGCTGTCCGGCAGCCAGGCTGACAGGCCATTAAAAACATAAGACAAGCGGGCCCGAAAAGAGCAGCACTGAAGCCGGCCAATAAATCAGCGCTAGCCGACTAGGCAAGGACATCAAATGGACAGGACAATTGGCTGCGGGCAATGCAAAGGGTGTGAAATGAAAATTAAAGCAAAGCGTTCGGCATGTGGAGAAGAAAAGTGGGACGGACTGAAACAGCGGCATATAAAATTCAATTAGAATTCTATTTCTTACGAATCGCTTTTGCGTACGCTCTTTCTTATCGCTTGCAGCTTTTCTAATCAAGCGAACAAACGGGCGAGCAGGGTTGGCGTTGGGGCATTTCCTTCAGCTGTTAGTATCTCGAAGTTGCGCAAGGGCTGAGCAAGTGAACGCCCGGAGGCCATGAAATCAAGTGGAAGGAAAATCGTCCTGACGCTGGATTTTCAAGCTCAACCTCATTTGTTCAACAGCGCCCGTTTTCGCTTGCGGTTTTTGTCGACAATTTTCTGCCTTACTACACATTCGATAGCTGGCTTTGACAACAAGAACAACAGCTACAACAACCAGAACGAGTCAGAAAACAACCAACAACAACAACGACATCCTCGGCTGCGTTTTGTGTCTACGGCGGCATCACTTTGAAAACGTGCTCGTAAATTACATTGGAAATTCCTGGGCCATTGATGTTGATTGAGCAAGAAAATTGCCGACAACGGCCTGGTGGACGCATGCCCATTCTCAGGGCATGCCATGCGTGCATTTTAAAGCGTGTTTCAACACTTGTCGCAGCCACGCGGACGCCTCTGCAGCTCGAGGCGAGTGTGCGCGTTGAGCGGTTTGTGGTTGGATTGTGTTAAAGCTTGAATTTCCGATACATGCCGCGACGCATCAATGCTGCTCACACCTCTATACGGCAAAGTAAACTTCCCAACTCCACCTCCAACGTCCCATCATGGCTCGCGGCAAGCCAAAGTATCATAATTAATGAGCCCGCCCTGCGGCCTGACCTTTTAGCATGCGTTGCGTGGGCGTGGCGATGCGCGTGCTCGTAATCTCATTTGAATTGTATTTCCACTAAAACTTTACCAGCGTCGATAACAAAGAGCGACTACAAAATGCAAATTATTTTGCTTAAAAATTAATTGTATTAATTGCGCTCGCTCTGGCGACATTTTATGCTAGTCGGGCTGCGCACTTCCGTTTCCGCTTAAGCATATGGCAGTAATGATTGCACAATATTACACAGCAATAAAATTAGGAATACATTTTACGATTTAGCTCGGGACTATGCATTTTGCGTACATTTTTATATCGAATATCCGTAATTCTTGTGTGTAGAAACATTTGAAATTTTTACAATTATTTTATATTTTTTTTGGTTTTTATTTCATTTTTTCATTAAGTGAAAAATTTGTTGCTATCCGTTCATCTGTCTTAGAGCCATGATGTACAAATTTTGACTATTAATGAGGTCGCCTAAGGATTGATCCACAAACGTGGCAAATCGGCAAAATCGAAATATCTAATACTATATTACGGAATTGCAAAATTTATACTTTAAAATCTGATTTAGGAGAAACTTGTGTGAGATCGCAAGCATGTTCCAAGTTTATATATATTATATTTTATATATAACTTATGCAAATTAAAACCAATTCGACTTAAGCCAGATTTATTTTTTTTAACGATAATTTAAAAATTTAATTTATCAATTGTGATTCATTTTAGGGGGCTCCGCTTTTGACTCAAATGTAAGTATAAAGTAAAAAAGCAAATGTTGCAGATGACAATAAAATCACAGATTATTTAAAGAATTGTTGCTTAACCCGTGACAATAGTCTGTTTCGCTATTCTGTCTCAGAGCAATAATATAGCGCCAGGAAAACAATATTTTATCTGTTTATTAGAAAATTATAGATTATCAATATTAATAATTTATTAATTATTAATAATAATATAAACAAGAAAGAAGGGCTATTTTCGGCACGCCGAAGATTTAATACCTTGCAGACCCAACCTTTTCATAATGCTCATAGTGTTTCGTCCGTATCTAAGAAGCACAGAAAAAGTAGCTAATGCCGAGTATGGTTAAGATATCTTGAAATAAAAAAAAGTTTTCCATGCAACAACTTAATTTTCGACCGATCGTTCCTATGGCAGCTATATGATATAGTGGTCCGATGTTGATAGGATTTTGCATATATATGAGGCGCATAGTAAAACTAATAAATGCCGAGTTTGGTCAAGATATCTTGATAAACAAAAATGTTTTTAATACAAGAACCTACTTTTCGACCGATCGTTGCAGATGGCAGCTATATGATATAGAGGTCCGATCGAGCTAGTTCCGAGGTATGTACCTCGTGCAACAGAAAGAGGCACTTCTGCAAAGTTTCATAAAGATAGCTTTAAAACTGAAAGACTAGTTCGCATAGAAACACACAGACGGACATACGGACAGACGGTCATGGCTATATCGACTCGGCTGTTGATACTGATCATGAATATATATTCATTTGGGGTCGGAGATGTCTCCTTCTATGCGTTACACATTTCACGACAATATTATAATACCCTCTGCAAGGGTATAAATATATTAATATTCAAAATTATGAAAAATAATGAAAACTGCATTTAAATTATAAAGTAAAATTGTATCGCTTCCATTAGCAACCACCTCCCTTAGTCAGACAAAAACACAGCGACTAAGGCTGTCCAGCTATTGTTTAAATTTAGTAAGCTCTAACTTAATCGAAAAAACACATTTTCTATAATAATTTTTTTTTTTTGTTTGTAACTCATTTTTATTCCCAAAGTATTCTAATATTGTGACATGTTTTGTGTATTGAAGAACACATCTCAATTATAAGGTTTATAGATATATTCTTGAGCTTGTTTTAAAGCATACGAAATCCTTTTCATCGAGTTTGAGCTTTAGAATGTTTCTAAAGCATTATCCAAATCTTATAATCATACCACTTAATCATATAACTGTTACAGGAAAAATCTTATGTTGTAAAAAAAAACACAATTTCATGTATAGAACTAGTCAGAATTAACCAGTGCCTATGATATATGTTCTTCAATAGAAAATCAAGTGAAGCATTATGTGTTTTTTTAATGGATACATAGTGAATGTATGTTTAAATATAAGTGCGTAATGTATTTAGTTTCTTAATCAATCGCGCTTACCATATACTTTAATAGTGAAGAATGGTGCTTCCAACGTTAGTCAAGTTGACACACCGAGTCGTTCGAGTCAAGTCAAGAACCGACAAATCATTTGATTGCCACAATATTCGCACACAAACCCATTTAGCATGCCATAGCCGAAAAATCTTTAATGGAATTGTGCGCCAGTCACACACACGCACACACATACACACACTTACAACATATACAACAAATTTGAATGTTAAATCTTGAGAGTTTTAGTATCGCTTCAAAGCGCAGACGCTGCCAGATTGAAATGCAAATCGAATAAATAGAAAATAAATAGAAGGCATAAGTAAACAAAGTCTTTCGAAGCATTCCACAGACTAGACGTAGGCAAAGGACCTTTAAAGAAGTAAACTGTGGATAGTATCCTGTCTGTGTTGCATATTATGCTTGCCTGAGCATCTATGTGTGTTGTGCGTGAGCGAGTGAGTGTGAGTGTGCCTGTGTGTGACTCCAAGTGTGGCCCCCAGGCGGGTAAAGCGGAGCAACCGAAATCGCTGACGCTGCCTGCTGAGCAGCTTAAGTCTTTATGCGACAACAGTTTCAGCAGCGCCGCAGTCGCAGCCACAGTCGCAGCCGGGCTGAGCAGCGGCAATATCAACACTTCCGCTTTGTCGTTCAGTCGAAGCAACTTTGATTGCATCGCCCGGGGCGTTTGGCATTACAAATGTGTGCACAGCAATGTGACTTGGCTTATAACTAGACCAGCCCTGAGTGCCTTATGGAATTAATGGTTTCTTGGCTTTTTGACTTGGCTCTTAGGAGTGACTGAGCTGCCGACGCGTTGCTAGCCGGGATTGCAGCTTGTACTGATAGTATCGTAGGGTGTTTATGTTAAGTTAGCCGCTTGTGTGCTTCAGCTTGTTTGTAAATTCATTGCAAATACTTTTGACATTTGTTTCACCTGTATATATATTATATATTTTGCGTGCTTTTACATTAAGAACTTTGCGATTGTCCGAACGTGCGCTTGTCTTTATAGTTACGCGACAAAAATTGTAACACATATTTTATGGCGAAAATTACACACAACAATTATTCTAGAAAAGTATACAAAACTAAAGGACAGCACAATGCAATTGCACAAAATAAAACACACACACACTACAATTAAACATTTAAACTTGTTTGTTTGTTTCTATGTATGTACTCTTGTGCGCCATTAAAAGCCAGCGGCAGACAATTTCTATACTTATTTTATTTTATTTTTTCTATTTTTTGTTTTCCTTTCTTTTTGAAGGCTGCTTGTGGCAGCTACATGTCGGCTGTTTTCATTTTATTTTGTTGCACTGCTTACAAGTATTTTCTTTTTGCATTTAGAGAATCGACGCACCGCGAATTGCATTTCATGGCCCTACGACGGAAGCGGAACGCGAAGTAAAGCGCGATGACCATCGCTGCGTATACGCAATGGCACGTGCGCGCAAATATACATGTGTATATATCTCTCGTGAGTGTAGATTTACCGTTGCAGTGTGCAATCAATGTGCTTGTAATCTGCAACAAAATGCATTAGTTTAGACTGACTGCTGCCAATGCTGCTGCTGCTGGTGCTGTTGATGCTGCTGCTGCCGCTGTCGCGCGCCCACTTCCTCTCAATATACGAAAGCGAATGAGAACGTAACTACGACAACGACAACGACGTAGCAATGCCGCAGACGGTTAACAGACGAATGAACTGCCGAATTTGTGTGAGCGTCGCACGAAGCCCGAGACAGCGCCAGCCGCGCTCAGAATGTGCACGGAATCAAGCGAATTGAGTGCCGAGCTGCGCCGCAACGCCGACGCCGCCATCAATGAGAGTCGCTCAGAGTGGTGCGCAGATTGCACTCAAAGCGTTTGCTCAGTCACTCAGTCACTGCCTGCTGCTCTGTTAAAAGCTAACAGCGCTCGGCGTGTAAATGACTTTCATTTACAGTCTGTGTTGGCTGTGCTGTTACGCATACGAGGCGTGGGCCGATAGCAGCAGGGCCCAGTGCGGATTGGGTAGCAACTTTTTTATGGTATCGTTGCCAAATATTATCAGACAAATAAGCCTTCTGTCTAAGCTATTAAATACATGGCAAATTTGGCTGTCAACAGGCGGAAAACAGAAAAACTTTTCACAACAAGCCCCTTATAAACGACGCACAAAGTAAATTCCAATTAAAATTTCAACGTAAATGCCACAAAATGTAAATTATGCGTAATGAAGTCGTCGGTGTTGGCAGCGTTTTTCCTGTCGTGGTTGCGGTGGGCTGCCTGTCAACACCCACACTCGCACTGATACTAGAATCCACGCTCACACTTATACACACACACACACAAACTTATAAACACAAAACGCACAATACTTACCCTCTTTAGCTTTCTGTCGCAATGTTTGCCTTCAACTCCCGCGCACAGTCGCTCGCAAACCCTGCCAGACAGACACCGATGCCACCGGAATACGATGTTGTGCCATGTTTAAGGAGATTCCAAGTCCGAATATGACTCTGGCTGCGTCTTAGCTGTCAAGAAACTGGAATTGCCTTGAAGCGGACGCTGCAGAATCCTTTAAGAAGACTATAAATACCCCAACCCACAGGCCAGCGTGCATTGTACAAATTGATAAGCACAACAACACACAAGCACACACACACATACACGCACACACCTAACTCTAAAACAAGCAATTTTGACATCAAACGTCAACGACTCACCCTGTCAAACACACACACAACACATACATACATTCGGCTGTTAGCGGATCTGGGCGTTTCCAACCGATAGCGGTTACACATGGGACTATTAGACTTCTATAAATTGAATTTGCACAAATTTCAAATCCCAAAACACGCCCCACCCAAAAAATAAAGCCAAGTTACGCCCGCAGCCTACGCAACCTGCATCCACAAACAAATCCAACAAGAAATGTATTAAAGTCAACGGAAAAGGGTCTAAAAAACGCAAGCAGAAGTCTCGATACTCTTTAGTTTACTTTAGTAGATGTTATAATTTAAACAAAAAAGGATACATTTAATAAATATTTTATTTTAATTTGAACACCATTTTATATATTTATATCTGGATCCTGCAAGCTCAGAGCTATGATAAGTCTTTATAATTAAGATATTTTCAAAGTGTGCGTAAAATTAAAATTTTTAAAATTTTTCAAAAATATTTCTATATGTATAATAAATATATTTGAATTAAGCTAAACTTAAATATAATTAAAAGAAAATGATTAAATTACAATAAAAAAAAATACATTATACCCATTTTCAGGGTATAATTAAATAAGAATAATATTGAACTTGCATGGAATATATTTGAATCTTTGAATAATAATTTAATCTAGCAACCAAAAAAAAAAACACAAGGTAAAACTTAAAAAAAACCTACCCTGAAATTTAGCTAAAAGCTTAACAAAACAGTTAAATTTCCTGAAACTATATATTGTATTTAAATGTACTTATTATAATTTGTGTAATGAAATAAAATAAAAAAATAATAGCTCATAAGGTTTATAATAGACTTCGGTTAAATATCTCAATATTTAAATCATTGTTTGCCTGTCGATACAAATGTCACTCTTTGCAAAGTTCGCCTGGAGAAACGCACAAAGTTCAAAGAATCATCGAATATTTTCCACCGGGAACATCAGCCGCTGATTTGGCTTCTGCAGCTGATACAGTTCGCTTGCATCAATAATAAGCTTGTTGAATAATGCGTTCGTCCAGCCATCAGTATTCAAGTTAGACTCTAGCAGAGCGCCGGGTGCATATAGCGAGTGCAAGGCAGATTGCTATTAGAAAGCCAACGAAGCGTTGCACTAAATTGCTATGCAATTGGCGAGTCCTATCATGCACTCCCCGGAGGCAAGGCAGCCGTTGCCACAGCCGCATCAGAGTCACAGCAGCACTCGCTCCTGCAACTTCCACATCGACTACTGCCACGGCTGTGTATATGCATTCCAATGGACGACAAGCCTGAAGCGCGAAAATGTGGAGCCAATCCATGCGCGGCCCGACTAGCAAATGACATTTGATTGACATGTTTGACATTCTGCACGACAAGCATAAATTGTTTGGCCCACACACGCGCACGCACGTACTCACACACACACACAGCAGCAGCATACGTACGTGTACGTCCCCTTTCGCCCATTTTTATTGCAATTTAAATGCGTCAGCATAATTTTCCAGTTTATTTAAATGATAAGAGTGCTGCATTTCAGCATGTGCGCTGCTTATAATACCATTATTTGCTTGGGGGCAAATTCGAAAAGCTTGCAGTTTTTGGCGAGCTGCTAAGAAATATGCTTGTTTGTGCTCAGCGTTTGCGGTTGATTATTCTATTGTTCGGCGAAGACCTCAAGACTCCTGCCGCACTGATGCGCATGCCTGCAACAGTTGCCTGGGCCCCAGCCAAAAGCAATTGCTAAAGCTAAGGACGTGAACCCACCAAACATACAAAAGTACCTAAGCCCCAGTTTCTACTTATATACACATAACAGCGTACATCTGCACAGTTCAATGGCCGCACAAATGCAATAATAAGGACAACTAGCAATCTGCGAATGTCCAAGCAAAATTATTCCCCTATCGATGTCAACCATGTGGATGCCGCTGGTCCAATAAGGATGACCACAGTCCTAACTAAACCAGGTCGGCATCAAATACAACTATTGCCGATCCAATAACAGCTTAGAAAATAAACCTAATGATCTGAAGATAAATTTGGGGGGTGGACCAGGACATAAAACAACGGTTGGCAACAGTTTAAATTATTAAGTTTAACGTGAAAATATTGAATTAAAAAATGAAATATTAATAAATCATATCAGTATTGATTTAGAGTAAGCCAAATGATCTTATGATAATTTAAGAGGCGGATAAAAAATAAATCAACAGGTTACAACAGTTTAAATTAGAATGTTTTTAATTAAAATTAATTAATATTTGCTGTACATATCAATATTTAAACGTTCACCAGCATGGCTGCTCTCTGATCATTTTTATGATTGCCCTGTCTGGAGAAAGTTACTGATCCTGTTTCACAATATCAAATTTCATGTATGAGAGAAAACGTCTGTAACCATCAGTGCTTTTATCGATAGACCTGTTACCATCAGTGCTTTTATCGATAGACTTTGCATATTTTTCGATGCATAGATATGTCAAACAGCAAAATAATCGAAGCACGATAAATCGCAACGAGTGAGCTTCATAGATGCCTGTTGAGATTTGAGTGTGCCCAGATAGAGGAAGACTGCTGAGAGTGGCAGCTAAACGCCGGCCTCGAAAGCCGAACGTTCAGTATGAAGCCGCATCTCGCTCAGCGCACAACGTCGCTGCGGCTTCTCCTTATATATGTATGTTAGTTTTAAATTCTTACAGCCCAAAAACATATGTGTGTATGCATGTGCAGAGTTTGCCTCGCTCCCACTCATTGCTTTGCGCGCTTGTGTGCATCTTTTTGTCCCTGCATAGCTTCTTAAAAACCCCGAGATCTACAAACATACATATGTTTGTTTTGTGTGGATGGGCGCACAAGTAGATCACGGCGTTTGTCCGCGAGCCAGAGATATTTTGTATAATTATGTGGCCTGTGGTTGCAAAAGGCACACACATTCAAATGATAGCTCATGTATTTCTTGGTCCAGTCAGGCATAATGAGAAGAATCTGATATATTTTCATTTGATAAAATCCAGAGGTCGCAAATAACAGTCAACACTTATTTTCAATGCGGTCGGGTCTCGACAGAAAAAAACGAAGCAAATTCGGTTTTGCTCTCCATCGAACACTTTAGTTCCTAGCAAATGTGTACTCTGTTTGTACATTTGCAACGCCGCTGTTATTTCTAACAGTAAGATCTTAACAGGACACATTCGGTCGGTCGCACACAAATGTGTGTTATTTTAAGAGCAAAACGAGCAAAGTGGAAGCGAAAAGTGTATTTTTTTGTTGTTGTCGTGTGACGATATCAATGAAAGTTAGAGCGAGAGAGAGTGAGAGTGAAAAAGAGGGCATGACCTAATACAGTTAATATGTAGGCAAGCTTTTTTATATATATATGTGTACATGCATATATTCAAATCTATAAGAAAACACCCATTAAATAATTTATAGTTTGTTTACATATGTTTATGTGTATGGGTTTTTTTTAATAAATATTAAGCTTTACAATTAAAAATGCATCCATTTTTATTAGACACACACAAGCACAACAGACACTTTGGCAATAATTTTTTCTGTACAGTGTTCGTGGAATAACATGTCTGAAAAAAATACGAAGAAAAGTGTCTTTGCTCGTGCCAGATTCTACTACATAGAAACAGAACTTTGTGTGTTTTCTTTCTCCCTTATTCATTCTGTCTGACAATAACTGTTATTTTACAGACAACCCGAAAGTGTTGACTGTTATTTGTGACCTGTGATAAAAACTTAAATGACCCAAATTTAATATTTATATTTCATATTGTAAGCTGTATTTAGATCTATAGTGGTTTTTGTAATTATACTCATAATCTCCTTCTTAGATGTTAATTTCACAATCTCTTTCTTTGCCGATGACTCGAGAGATAGCAATATTAAGCTCGTGCCACGTTTTCTTGCTAATCGATAAACTTATTTTAATATCGATTCTTAACATGGATATTCTTACAACTTATAGCCTTTCTCCAGAACAATTTTAACCTAACTGAACGGAAGTCTAGCCAGATAGTGTGTTAAAAAAAACAATAAAAATATATATAACATAAAATCCTCAACAATTCCTGCAACTGTGGTAAGTCCTAGACTAAGAAGTGCGAAAAAGAAGGGGGATAACATGGCGGGCGCCATCCCACCGGCGTCAGCCACAAATAGATATGCCGATAATTTTGACATTGTTGGCCTGGAACTCAAGAAATCAGCCATATCAGCAAAAATCATGAATAAAGCGATTAATAAACAGCAAAGCGCAAAAATCAAACAAAACTATCCAAAGCAAATTCCAAAGATAATACAAAAAGAGAAGTAACAAAAACAAATGACATCTCTTCTACGAAGATTAGTGACAGCTCAATGAGTGACACATCAATAAGCAGCGTTCACTCGATTAAAAAAAAATCGTAAATACACTAATGTTAATATGGGAACAGCGGACAATTATCTTAAAAAGCTACTTAACTCAGCAATTAAGTACCTGAAAAACCCAATTACAAACACCAACAAAGGCAATGAAAATAGGAATAAAGACTTGATTTCAAACATATATAACTCAGATACCACCAAAAATGGTACAATTATTGAAAAACCCACGTTCCTGTATGATGCTGAAAATGTAGGAGCTGGTTGCGTGCTAGTAGACACAAGTCAAAACGAAGGAATCCAAAATAAAAACGTAAAAAACAGACTATTCCTTTTCGAAAAAAAGACACCTTAAAGTCATAGGTCTGAAGAGCATAACGGGGCTAGGAGTAACTCTATACAAATTGTATTTTGATGATGCTACCAATACAAACAACATATTTAAAAATGACAGTCTCAGCCAATTAAACTACAAAGCTTTCATCCCGAGGAACTATACGGACGGTCAGACGAGGATATTTACAATAACATCCAATCTGAAATTAAAATTAAATTGGTCGAGAGAATAATGAGGAGAAAGAAAATGAAGCGGGTGAACTATTAAAAGAGACTATATTGAAACCAACTGAAACAGTCAAAATAGGCTTCCTAAATAATGCTCCTTAAAAGTAATGCACTTCTTCCCAAATGTAAGACAATGGTTCAATTGTGGACGACTGGACGACAACACTAACTCTAGGTGTAAATCCAAAAAACGATGTCTCAGCTATGGCAAAGAAAATGGATGCCCCCTGGATGCAAAAGTGGAAAAAGTATCTTATGCAATTGTAGTGGACATCACTCCTGAAAGAAGAGTTCCTGCCCAGTGTGGAACAAGGAAACCGATATTCTAAAAATCATGACAATAAAAAAACTGGCCAGAAAAGAGGTTATAGAAAGCTATTCTCTCAGCAACAATGAAATATACACCCAAAAAAACTATGAAGCCAATTTCCCCCAACT